CACATGCTAGGCAAGTGCTCTACCACTAAACCACAACCCCAGCCCCTCAAGTCCATAATTGTTTTAAACTAAAATTTTAAGTAACTCTGGTTCGTTATTTTMAGCTGGATATCAATTGCTTACTTTTCTGTATCCCATCTTGCATCTGTCAGCAGCATCAGGGAAAAAATACCTAGTCTGTGGTTCTGACTATTCCTCAGGTTTTTGCACTTTTGGTTTCCATATCAAACTTTTTTGATACTGGAGGTTGAATCCAGAGGCACTTTACCACAGAGCCACATCCCCAACCCTTTTAATTTTGAGACAGGATCTTGCTAAGTTGCTGAGGTTAGTCTTGAATTTAGGATCCTCCTGCCTCAGTCTCTCAAGTTGCTGKGATTATAGGAATGGGTCATTGTGCCCAGCTCATAGGTTCTCTTTTATAATTCAGTATTACACTCTAATCTCTTCTGTTCTCATATAACCAGACTTTGTTATTTCCCTTTACAAATGCACTTAGATTATTTGGGTGGATATCTAAAATCTGTTCACCTGTAATTGGACTCTGGTTACTTTAATCAAGACAGATTTTTGCACATACAGCAAAACTCAACATGCTTTTCTCTGTTGTTTCACCCTTTTGGCAAATCAAATGCCATAATTTCTAGCATTTCTCTCTTCTAGTCCAGTTTTACAACATTTCCCTGTTGAGAGTATTCCATTCCTATCTTCTAAATGCTATCTTACTTATGCTAGTAAGTGTACTTTTCATATCTATACAGTTTCTTTTTGATGACTTCCATATACACTGAACTCATAGTCTTGGACATACTAGGCAAGTGCTCTACATTGAGCTACAGACCCAGCCCAATGATTCAGGTTTTTAATGTTATATCAGGCTTTTGTTCCTACCCTCTCATAATCAGACTTTGAATTGTGATCTTTAAAAACAAGGTGGAGAATATTCAAGAAAAAAGAAAACTGAGGTAGATAACCAGAGAAAGAAGAAGGAATTATGAAATTAAGTTCAGAGCAAAAGGAAAGGTAAAAAGAGACTAATGGAAAGTTAAGGGCGCCTTTTGCAGCAAATCACTGGTTATAACTTCTTCTGCCATCTCTCTTTTTCTAATGTGTTCTTTGTGGGAAAAATCTGGAATGTATATCTAATTAAGAAATTTTTAAAAATCTTACAGGTAGTTTTCTGTGTAACTGGCTTTTAATTTTACTTTTAAATTTCCCTTAATAGCTACATTTTTGTATTCCCACAGTTGTTTTTATTATTACTTAACTTTATAATCCTTTTCTAAAATTGAGTGACTTACGATTAATTTCTGTGGTTTCTTATCCCACAAGCATGCTGAATTTAATTTTATACTGAGATAACCCCTGTGATCTGCCTAAGAGATGTACTCTTCTTTATGTAATAACATTTTCATCTTATAGGTCTTTAAAGCAATTTTGCTTTATAAATTACAAAGTGGATTTTTTATAGCAGTGTAAACACAGAATGTGTGGAACTCTATTCCCACTCCTTTAAAAACTGTTTTGTTGTTTTTTTCCCCAGCAACCAAAAAATTTTATTCATTACAAATAGCTACTCATAATATTGGGGTTCATTATGACATAATCATAAGACATGGAATATAATTTTCTACCCTTTGGTCCCTATTACTTCCCCTTCCCCTCCCCTAAAATGGTTTTATAAATTGGTGTTACTGGAGTTTGAACCCAAGCTAGGCAAGTGAATACATGAACACATGCTAGGCAAGTGCTGTAGCTATATCCCCAGCCCTTGGAAATGTCTTTTTAACAAAAGTTCTGAATGAGAAAAAGAAATGGCTTCAGTTTTCTTTTTTTCTCTTTTTGGGAGTAGGCGGGGAGATTACAGGGAATTGAACCCAGGGAGTGCTTTATAAACATTGAGCTGCATCCCCAGCCCCTGTTTAATTTTTTTTATATTAATATGGGGGTGTCTCACTAAGTTGAGGAGACTGACTAGTCTTGAACTTGCAATCCTCCTGCATCAGTTTCTGGAGTTGCTGGGAGTACAGATTTCACCACCACTCCTGGCTTGAAAAAAATGTTTTTAAAATTTTCCTCTAAATCAGTGTTTCTCAGCTTGTGGCTTAGTCAATATTACTGTTAAGAAGTTTGCATCCTTTTATACACTGGGCATTGCCTGGTGACAAGAGTTAAGTCTCCCATGTTTATTCTTTTGTTATGATGTGATTCTGATTAATAGAGATCAGAATTAGAATTTAAGTGTTTTAAGTGATTAGAATTTAAGTGTTTTTAGTGAATAATTTAGGAATTCTTTTTCCAGGGCCTTATGTGTGATAGGTAATGCTCTACTACTGAACTATAGCCCCAGCCCTTTTAAAGGAATTCCTAAATAAAACTAAGTTTGTTTTTGACTCACAAAGTTACAACTTGGTCCAGGTAGCTTTCTGTAAGAGGGGTTATATAATCGCCTGCAGTGTATATAGGAAAAACTAGGACAGACCTACTAGTAACCTAAGCAGTCCCAGCTAGGGTTACCACCTTATGCCTGACAGTCAGGTCTGGGTGAATTGTACCATGTGTTGATCAGTTTCCTCTTATTTGCAATTTTTTTGTTTTTGTTTTTAAATAGAATGGAGGAGAGTTCTTCCTGTTTCTACCTCCACAGCAGCAAATCTGGGCCCAAGTCTCTAATAAAACAGAAAAAGCAGTTAGCCTTCTCTTATAGTTCTAAATTCTGGATGTTGGAGAGAAGAACCAGCTCGTACCTTCCCAGGTCAGGTGTAGACAGGTGTCAACCATTGTTACATAGACCAGAACTTTTAGGCCTATGCCATCACATGTTGCCTTTTATTATTTTTTAAATAGTAACTCTGTATAGAACTAGGAATGTAGCTTTGTAGCCTGCTTGCCTAGCATGCTGGAGGACCTTGGTTCTATCCCCAGCAGTTCAAAAAAGAAAAACTAACAAAAGTTCTATATGTTTAGGAGTTTTTTTATTACTTTAAAAATATATATATATTACATGTTGATGGACCTTTATTTTATTCATGTATTTATATGCAGTGCTGAGAATCAAACCTAGTGCTTCACATATAGTAGGCAAATGCTCTACTACTGAGCCACAATCCCAGCCCTCATTACTTCTTTATAAAACTGAACATAACTTTGTTTTTGTTTTTTCAAAGTTGCCTATGTTGCAAACTGAGTTTGGGTGAAATAAAATATTTGCAGTAAGGCAATCCTGAGAATAAAAATGGAAAGAAAGCCTATGAAATTTGGGAACCTTCAGAAAGTTTAGAGTCACTGCCTAAATATTGAAATGCCACCATTTGTTGTTTGGAGGGATGAGGAGCTAAATTGAGAATGGGAGCACACATCTGCCTTGACTGCTAAGTATATCCATCTCTATTGCTCACCCATAATAGAATTTTGATGTGTGCGTTCATTTGTCTTGATTTTAGCAACAGTTCCCCCAATTTGGTGCTAGGGATCAAACCCRGGGCCTTGTCCGTGCTTAAGCTTTATCACTGAGCTATATACTTCTGGCCCTTRGCAGTAGTTTAAAGAGGGAGAGAATGAAGAGATTTAGCCTATATTTCTTTTTCCTTCCTGTTTATGTTTGAGTGTCCCTAACAGATCCAGTTCTTTTTCATTATTATTACTGGTGGCTTTTGTTTTTTGTTTCTTTAGAAAGATCAGTGAAAAACTGAAAAGACATTATTTTCTAGTATATTGTCAAGAAAGAGGAAGAATATTACTCTTCCCTTTTTACTTTCTGGCAAGTAAAATGATTTAGTAAAGAAATTTTTGCCTGTACCTGTTACTGAACCAAATAACACTGAGAAATCACCGAGGAAACAACCATCAGGACACTTTAGTCTCAACATTGTGGAGAAAACAGGGTCAGTCCAGTTAGAGGTAGTTATATGTGAGCAGCAAGTTTCTGGCAGCCAGTTCTACAACCAGCTTGGCCTCTATCCTGCTTCTCATGGCCTTACCTTCTTATGTGACTGTTCTGAGGTTAGTTTGGATCCAAACACTGTGCTCATTGCTGTCTTTGGCACATGGAAATTAAGTTTAAAGCCAAGCCAACAACCCAGTTCTTTAAAAATGTTTTCAGACCACACAAGGTGAGTTGTTCATTTTCTTCAGGTAGTTTTAGGCTTTAGGAGACTTCATAAAATTATTTGCAGGGAGGAGTTTGAAGGATGTGAAACAAGTTTATTTCTTCTGCTCTGTTGGCCACTGCTATCTTCATGGATCTGACACTCTATTTATCTGACAGTGCACTTAGTACTGCTTCGCCAGGGAAAATCACACAAAACAACCCTGGCGCATCAGCACTTTCATTGTGTGCTGGGCTGAGCTTCCCTTCACATGGTCACATCCCCATTTTAATCCAGTACTCCCTTTCCCTGTCCCTACCCCAGACCTGTCTCTGTGGCACTTATTGCTGGCTTCCCTGAGCTCCTGTTTCCACTTTGTGTTTTTTGTGGGGCCCAGGAAGCTAAAGCTGTGTGTATTTGTGGATCAGACAAGTGCAGCAAGTTAATATCATTGGCTTCTGAAGGGGAGAGTGAGGTGATGGCTGCGTTTAAGTTGGATTTCCTTCCAGAAATGATGGTGGATCATTGCTCTTTGAATCCCAGTCCTGTGTAAGTATTTTTGTTGTCTAATTTTTATCATAAGCAGAGGAAATGGGCTGTTTTCCCCCCTCCTCCTTCTCTTYTTCCCCCYCCTCCTCCTCCTTTTCTTTTTAAAAATCTGATAAAAATGGTCACTTTCCTTTAAAGAGGGAGTAAAAATTTGGGAAATAAGCCAAAATCTGAATTCTCTCATGCTATTATTTTCTATTTTAGTCTGATTTTGTCTCATAACTGCTAATTTCCTCCAGGCTATAACTAAGTTCTTTGCACAAGGGTGCACTTGATGTATATGACTAGCAACATCAGCTCAAGTGTTCTGGCTCCAATCTTTCAAGCTGTATAGTGTTTCCACATATGATAGATTTCAAGGCTTTTTATTGTTTTGTTTTTTAACTATGGCTTTATTGCTTGGTTTGGGTATGCAGTTTCATTTTTGGGGGGGGGAGGAAGAGTTTTACTTAAAACTTTTTTTTTAATATTTATTTATTAGTTATTGGCGGACACAACATCTTTGTTTGTATGTGGTGCTGGAGGATCGAACCCGGGCCGCACGCATGCCAGGCGAGCGCACTACCGCTTGAGCCACATCCCCAGCCCCGTACTTAAAACTTTTAATTATCAAATTCTTAAACTCCTATCACAGGGGAGACTAGTAGTTAGGATGTTTTTAGTACTATATATAGCATTCTGTATTGAGATGCAAAGTGTAATACTAGACCTTGATTCCCCCCCCCCGAAGTTTAATAGAAAATAAGGCTTATTAGTGCATGATTTCAAGAATATCAGATTTATCTCTATCTTCCAAAAAMATTTTTAAAGTGGATTAATCTCAGTTGTCAGTTTGACAAATAAATTGTGGATGTGGGAATGAGAAACCTTGTTAGTTTGCAAGAGTGCAAGAACTGCATTGTACAGAGCTAAAATGGTCACTTGATCCTGAGTTACAGAGAACCCGAATTCTGGACTTGGCAGAGAACGATCCATTTCCAACTCCCTGAGTTTGGTCAAAGTCTRTCTTTAAGATTTTACTCACTTTAGGCTCAAATAATGAGCTGGAAGTTATTCAAAGCCAAAAATATTAAATGATAGATCATTCCCTAAATAACAGGTGTTAGGGGGCTGGGGTTGTGGCTCAGTGGTAGAGCAGTTGCCTAGCATGTTAGAGGCGCTATGTTTGATCCTCAGCACTGCATAAAATAAATAAATAAATAAAGGTATCGTGTCCAACTACAACCATATATGTATATAACAGATGTTAGTGCAAGTCTGTGAGGTTAGGTTTCCATGTGTGAATCAGTCTGACCTGGGATTAGGAATAACAAGCGTGGATAATAGCAAGATACGTTGTAGAATAATTTGTGGGGGTCTCCAAGTTAGCCATCTTGCTCTTTTGAAATGGATCCTGTGCCTTCTCTGCAGTCTCCCAAACAATGGTAATTTTAATGTGTCTTTTATTACAGGTCTTTACTACCAAATGCTATTTTAGCAGTAGTTGTCAGGTGAGAGTACAGTATCATCATAAAAACATAGTATGTAATAAAAGTATATTTGATTCCTAGAAAGAGAATTTTGTGGCTCAAATTATCTTTGCATTGTAACACTTTTTCTATATGCTTTGCCTCTGGTGTTCAGTCTCTTAGATGCAGTTTTTTTTTTTCTCATCCAGTTTTCTCATCTTTTAAGAATTTGGACTGATTAAGTATTCCTGAGGTCTGGACCATGGATCACTGCATGAATATCACCTGGAGCTTAAAAATCTAAAGAATACTTATGCTAGAGTAGGATTCAAAACTCTGTATTTTATTATTTATTCATTTATTTATTTGTGCTGGGGATTGAACTGAGGGCCTTGTGTATGCTAGGCAAGCACTCTACCAACTGAGCTATATTCCCAGCCCCTAAAACTCTGTATTTTAATAAGTATAATATGTAGTTTCCATGGACACTACAGTTTGAAACTAATGGCCTTAATACAGGGATTCTGAGTTAGAATTAACTGAGAATGGAGTGTCAATGTTTTCCCAGTGCATTTGCATCTGTTTTAGTCCTCCATTTTCACCAAAACTTTGTTAGATTAACTGGGCTTAGGCTGTTGCTTCTGTGTTAAGGAAGAGGAAACCAGTTGAGAGAGAGACCCAGTTGGCTCGTTTTAGAATAACTGATATCAATTTTTGGTCTAAAATACAAGTTTAATGATACCTTTTTAAAAATTTTTGCTTACTGGATAGGTTACCCGTCTACTGTTCCCATTGTCACAAGTCCTTGGGCCCACTCCCACAGGAATAGTACACAAAGCCACCACAAAGACAGTAAGTTGCTTTCAAGAAGAAAGTGTCGTTTTGATGCTTGGGGTTGAACCCAGGGCCTCATGCATGCTAGGCGAGCACTCTACCACCATGAACATCCCTAACACCAGAAGAAGGTTCTTGAGGATGATGTGTGCTCACAATCTCTCTTGAATTCTCTTTTTTCTCTATTCAGTAAAGCACTACTTTAGCTGTAAGCTAAATCAGAGTTTTTAATTGCTGAAATGATTTTGTTGGAAATATAATAGAGCTTGTGTCTTAATTCAGAATTCTCTTACAATAAAGAAGCAATGAAGGAGCTCTAGAAGCTCCTGGGAGCCTGGGCCCTTGTTCCTTTCTTTTTTATAATCAAAATCATCGATTCTACTTTGGTAACTCTTAAGCTTCCACTGGTTCCTCTTACTTTTCTTACACCCTAGGATATGGATAGTTTCCAAAAGTTATATCTCAAGCCTTYCCCCCCCCCCCAGCTCTCCCACTGCTCAAAGGAGCACTGATCTGTTTCTCTGCTTCTCAGATCTATGACTTTTTATAAAAACCAGTGGAGTGGAGGATGGGGATAAGGGAGAGGGAAGAAGGGGGGGAAAGAAAAAAAAATTAGAAAAAATGCCTTGTGCTGGTAAGAATATATCACAATGAAGCCCACTGTTAATGTATAATTCACCAATAAAAAGAAAAAAGAAGAATTAAAACAGCCTATCAGACATTTTCATCAGAAGTCTTCCTCTCAAAAAACAATGTCCCAAGGTGCCTGAACTAGATAGAACCCAAGTTATACTGACCTCTTCTTCCTCACCTCCAACTCTTCTCAAGTCTGTTTTTTCCCTTTCTAATGTAGCTATCTCACTCCTCCCCTCTGCGCTTGGACCTTATCAATTTTTCATCACCCTTTAGGCTTTCATTTCTCATGCCATATAATGCTTCCCGGTTGCCTAGTCCATTTGGCTTAAATGCCCACACACACCTTCCCCCTCCTCCAATAAAGTAAAACTAGGTTTGTCACATATTTCATAGAATTTTTCTACTTTTTTTTTTTTTTTTTTTTTAGAGCTCAGTAGTGGGTAGAATCTGGCACTATAGAAAGAACTTGGAAAGTACAGTTCATCTATCTATCCTTTGAGGATTTTGTTTTGTTTGGGTAGTAGATGATTGCAAAGATTTTCTTTTACCTCAGGGGAAAAGGCTGAAAACCTTCAAACGCATGTAGTTGTGCTGTTATTGGAGGTGGACTTAAAAACCTATGTGAACTGGGCATATAGCTGTAATCCCAGAGGTTAGGGAGGCTGAGGCAGGAGGATCGCAAGTTCAAAGCCAGCCTCAGCAACTTAGGCCCTAACTCAGAGAGACTCTGTCTTTAAATAAAATACAAAAAAAGGTTTGGGATGTGGCTCAGGGGTTAACTGCTCCTGAGTTCAGTCCCTGGTACCCCCCAAAACAAAAAAACAAAACAAAACAAAAAAACAACACTCTATACCAGTAGCATTAACGTTATATCCCCCATGACAGAAAGGTCTTCCTTATCCAAATAAAAATTACTTTTTTTATAGAATATACAGATATTCTGTCTTATTCTCACTAGAGAACAYGTGGAAAGAAACCTGGGCCTGTGTTTCTGGGGTCCTTTTATTTGCATGCATCTCTCTCTCAGTTTTTTCACAGCCCAGTATGTGAGCCATGGGGATCTATCTGGTGGTAGGTAGTAAGTGGAATCTGGAATGCAGTGAGTGTTTATGCCTGTAGGAGGTGGAGCAATTGGTTGCTCTCTGAAAATTTTCTGTGTGAATAATGAGTAAAGAGAAATAAAAAGTTAACAAGAGAGTGGCAAAATAAATAATGAAAGGTCTCAGAAATTTTATGTATTTATTTAGCACTGGGGATTGAGTCCAGGGGCATTTAACCACTGAGCCACACCTCCAGTTCTTTTCATCTTTTATTTTGAAATAGGGTCTCACTAAATTACTTAGCACCTTGCTAAGTTGGCAAGGCTGGTGTTGAACTTGTGGTCCTCCTGCCTCAGCCTCCTGAGTAGCTGGGATTACAGGCAGAAATTATTTTTAAACAGGTGTGAAGGTCATGTTTGTTAACCCTTTGGCTGGAAGGAGGACAGATCAAGTACCCACTCAAGTTGACATATACCAAGGGATTTTTGAAGGACGCATGTCGAGTAGAGTCTAATGTTAATTAGGAGCTCTGCATCTGGAAGACCTGGAAACTCCATGTATCTCACCCCAGTATACATGTTCCGCTCACTCTGCATGTGCTGCTGCTTCTACTCTTTACCSGACTTATAACTTCAGTTTACGTTATGGCTTGGCTTTGCTGTCATCCTTCCATCCTGTCTTAGGGTATGGAATTCACATACCATAAAAGTTACCCTTTAAAATTATTTTTTTAAAAAGTAGGTTTTTAAAGTGCATTTACAAAGTTTTAAAGTATATCCACAAATTCAGCTCTAATTTCATTCTCATCACCCCCGAAGCCCTAAACCCATTAGTAATACTAATGTAAAAATCATTAATTTTCCCTCCTTTTTTTTTTTTTTGTACTAGGGATTGAACCCAGAAGCACTTTACCACTGAACTATATTCCAGTTCTTTTCATTTTTTATTTTTGAGATAGGGACATGGTATATTACTGAAGCTGATTTGAACTTGTGATCTTCCTGGCCTCAGTTTCCTGAGTTGCTGGGATTACAGGTGTACATCTCTTGGTACAGCCTCACTCCCCTCTTCTTCCCATTCCCCGTTCCTTGAAACCACTAATGTATTTTCTGTCTATACATTTGCCTGTTCTAGACATTTCATGTAAATGAAACCACATAATACACATTATTTGCTCTCATTATTGCTTCTGCTGCTAGAAGCAGAAACAARAAGATGGGGGTTGCTGCCATACCTTTCTGGTAAAACAGTATCATACTCAAGAGTCTTATCTCCAGTAGCTTTTTTTATTCTATGATTACTTTGAACCTTAACAACATGTATGCTGAAAGTATGTGGAAGAGGAGAATGGAAAGCATTGTTGCTTATCTCTTCATGCATAGTAGCAGTTAAGAAGGTTTGTGACTGTTTATACTCTGTGCGTGTACAAGTATGCATGTGGTTGCTTTTCTCTCTCAGTATGTCTATTGCCTGTAATACTAATATAAAAATCATTAATGTTCCTATATCATCTGTTTTTATCTTGGTGCCACCTTTATTTAATTAATTAATTTATTTATTTTTTATGTGGTGCTGTGGATCGAACCCAGCACCTTGTACGTGCTAGGCAATTGCTTTACCACTGAGACACAACTCTAGCCCATTTCTTTCATTTTTTTTTAAAAACAGCACCCGGTGCATTATTTTTTTCTATTTATTTTTCAGTTTTCGGTGGACACAACATTTATTTTATTTTTATGTGGTGCTGAGGATCGAACCCAGCACCCTGCACATGCCAGGCAAGCATGTTACCGCTTGAGCCACATCCCCAGCCCCTCTTTCATTTTTAACTCATGAACTCCCAAGAAAATACTGTGTTTTTCTTACTCAGATGTATACCACATCAACCAATGTATAAGTAAGTGCCCAATATTTATTGGAGGAAGGTATAAGTCAGTACCCCAGCTGCATAATATTCACAGCATCGTGAGCCTGTATGATTTGCTGCATCTGGGCAGTGCTTATCAAACTGGTGAGCCATCTCATTTCTCACACCCTTGTAAAATAAAATGAAAATGATCAATGCATGAGCTTTTATTTTGTATTTATTATCATTAGATTGAATAACRTCTAAAATGTCTCACCAATTTTTATTAAAAATTTTCTAAAGGATTAATTTGAGGATTATTTCTGTTCCTTGGACCTAGCTTTGAATAACACTGCTCTAGGGGATTCTTCTGACTGTTGAGTTGGCATATCAAGGTGGAAGGGTGGTTCATAGAGTAGGTGGACTTTAAGAAATAGGGATTTGGAGAGTAAAAGAAGAGAAAATGAGGACACATGTCTAGAATCCTGAGTCTTCATTGATTTTGGATAAACTATTACATTGACTTTGCTTTTGCACTAAATGATGATGTAGAAAATTTAGAAATAACACACAGATACAGAAGCAAAGGACAAACCAGGAGATTCTGCCTACAGTGTAATACAAATTAATAAATTCCTGCCTAGGGCTGAGGTTGTGGCTCAGTGGTAGAGCACTTTCCTGGCATGTGTGAGGCACTGGGTTCAATCCTCAGCACCACATTAAGATAAATAAATAAAATAAAGACCTATCAACAACTAAAAAAAAACAACAAACTCCTGCCTCTTTCGAAATAGCTACTAGCTTCCTTATCATTGCAATCATTTGAGCACCGTTGAGATTCTCTGTTATCCCTCCCTAGAGTAGAAATATGAAGAAAGAATAGCAATATTTAATAAAATGCTATTAAACCTAATAATTAAAGTTGTTCAGGGCAGTTTATAGGGAATGACACCCATTGTAGTTTCASTAGTCATGGGGCTGTTTTCATCAGTGTAGCCTGGTTTCTTTTGGAACATTAAAATTAAACTTCTAAAAGCAGTTACATTGTATTTTTGCAGTGACTTCCAATACATGGGGTGGGTTTTTTGTTTGTTTTGTTTTTTCTTCAGTGTGTGTGTGTGTGTGTATGTTATTTAGTTATATTTGGTACCAGGGATTGAACCCAGGGGTGCTTAACCAGCCCCCTGCCTTTTTGGTGTGGGGGGGTACCAGGGGTTGAACTCAGGGGTACTCAACCATTGAACCACATCCCCCCGAGACCTATTTTGTATTTTATTTAGAGACAGAGACTCATCGAGTTGCTTAGCACCTCGCTTTTGCTGAGGCTGCCTTTGAACTTGGAATCATTCTATTTTGAAACAGGGTCTTGCTAAGATGCTTAGGGTCTCACCAAGTTGCCCAGGCTGACCTCAAATTTACAGTCTTCCCTCAGCCTCCAGAGTTGCTGGGATTACAGGCATGCACCWCTGTGCCTGGCCAACGCATAGTTTTAAAGTAACAGAGTTTAAAAACAAAAACAAAGGTGCTTTGGTCCTGTGGCAATCAAATAATCATAAGATATGATCGCTTCTTTTAAATTTGAGAGTCCTCTTTGTGTACAACACTCATTTTGGCAGGTTTAATTGCTTAAACAGGGAATTGAGATGAGTAACGAGAAATTCCTCCCATCCTACATCTGAATGCTAACTTTGAATCAGGCCCCATGCCAGGTGTGCTATAAGAATGAATAGGAAATAAGAACCTTTCCTGCCTTCAAGGAGCTGACAGTCCTTGGAAAAGGTGAATACAGGCAGATAATGCCAAAAAAAAAAAAAAAGCTGTTAAATATATGTAGTAAAGATGGAAATTTAGTGCTGTTGAGTCCTAGGATGCACCTAACTAGTTAACCTGCAAGAATATGGGGAATCTTCACAGATAGATGTAGGAACAAGAGTTGATCTACAAGCCATTTATAGTATTTGACATTTAGTTAGTGCTAGATTACTAGCAAAGGGGATGTGAGAATAAACCCTGTGGGTGTTCAGTTATATGAGATTTAGCATTTATTAAAAGAGGTTGAACTACTTTTATAGATTCAGCATTCTTAAGGATCTTCAAATACTATTCAGAAGATAACAGTGGTAGAAAAACTTATAAAGAAAACTAGCATTTTATTTATTTAAGATTGGGGATTGGAACCTGGAAAATTTGAATATAAACTACATAGTTTCTGGATTAAGCAGTAAATACTAAAAGGAAAGCTGACCCAGGTAGGGTTTTTTTTTTTTTAATTTAAATTGTTAATGATTTGGAAAAATGTTAAGAGTAAGAAAGACCTCGGAACAGTGGTAGGAGGACTTTGAAATAGATGGTTCCTTTTTTTTTTTTAGGTGGTCCTGAGGATCAAACCCAGGTCTTATGCATGATAGGCAAGGAAGAACTCTACCTCTGAGCCACATCCCCAGCCCTTGAGTTGGAAATATTTCTAGAACAAGAAACCCCCTAGGTTCTTGGCAGTGGTAGGAGTAGAAGTGAAGATAGGAAAACAAGAGTGTTACTAGTTTGATGTAGTAGGATGCAAGAGGAATTTATGGACTTTAAAATGGTTGCAGTTGGTAAGCAAGTCCAACTTGCAGGAAGAGTACTGTTTGGTAACTTCAGAAAAAGCTAGGATGATAGCAGCTTTGTTTATATTACAATCACTTTTGGAAATTTAAGATGCAGAGCTTTGTTTTGGTCCGGGAACCTAACTCAAGAGCAGTAGGATTAAGCATAAGATAGCCAGCTTCCTCCCTCCCTCCATCCTTTCCTTCATATTGAACCCAGGGGTGCCCTCTTTATATTTTAAGACAGGGCCTCACTATRCTACATAGATCTTTACTACATTGCTGAGTCTGGCTTTGAACTGGCGATCCTCCTGCCTCAGCCTCCCAAACCTCTGGGATTACAGGCTTGTGCCTTCGTGCCCAGCTTTGAATGCTGATATCTAGTCAGTTCTAGTTTTGGCCTTAGAAATCAGGTGCTTCTGTTTTAACATCTCCTGAAAGAAGACTTTACCTGACATTTTATACTTTGAAGAGACCTTACTTGTATCTGTAACGAATAGGCTTTTGTTATTTTATGGACATTTTAAAAATACTTCTGTTTAACTATGCTTAAATGTTATTAAAACTTGATTTTGCTTTAGGAGCTTTACCTGGTAAGTTCCTCTGAGAAATGTCATGCTAGACCAAATAAAAGTGATGTTTCAGTTCCTAGGTTTTAACAATCTAGGGGGTCCTATGGGGTAGCCCTGTTGAGGGTGGACCAGGGAGCTCTAGTAAGTTGAATAGAGGTAGTGAATAAAGTAGAATTTTTTTTCCTCATGCTTTTTCATAATGTAGTTGAGATCTCTGAAGAAAAGATAACTACCTCCTGAAAGAACTTGAATATATAATAGAAATTTCATTTTTATCTCAATGTAGCTCCAAGAAAATGAACGGCACCCTGGACCACCCAGACCAACCAGATCTTGATGCTATTAAGATGTTTGTGGGCCAGGTTCCGAGGACCTGGTCTGAGAAAGACTTAAGGGAACTCTTCGAACAGTATGGTGCTGTCTATGAAATCAACGTCCTAAGGGATAGGAGCCAAAACCCTCCTCAGAGCAAAGGTGAGGGCTTTGGGTTTTTACATGTAAGTCCCACCATGTGCCTTTTATCTCTCCTTTCCAGAATGCTTCTGTGATCATTTAGGGGAAAAGACTGTCCTTTTATTAGGAGATCTATTTTCCAATGCAAACACATTTAATAGCTTATAAATAATATTAAGGTAACATGAGAATAATTTGAATTTTAGGTCTGTGCTGTCCTTTGTGAGAACTCTAAATTCAAGAGACAGTTCTGTGTRAGTGTCTCATTTGATCTTGGAATGGAGTGACAAAAATAAAAGTCAACCAGCCACGTAAATTTTTTTTAGTTTTTTGACTTGAGTAAGCTGAAAGATACTGTCCATGTACCCAAGGATTTCTTGTTATTATAGAGGCCATTCAGGAAGAACTTATTTAGGCAACTTGTTTSTTGTAGCTTATAAATGTAGAGGGAAAAAAAAATGGCTACCAGAAATACCAGCAGAATGAACATAAGACTGGTGGTAGATGGGCATTAGCTTTGCTTTATATACACAGGCATGTTCTTATTTTCCAAATGATCAATTTCAGAGTAATTTTTTGTGAAAGCTATTCTGTGGTGCAAATGTAAGCAAGCATGATTGTCATGTTTGAAACTAGCTTACTATATCATAGGATCTTAGAGCAGAGGAATTATTTCTCTTTGTGACATAGTTAACAAAAATATAAAGTATTGTAGTTCCTGAAAATGACTGGCAATATAACATTCAGTATATTTCAAATCTTAACTACACCATGATTTAAAAAAAAAAAAACAACACCTGTTTTTGTATTTTGGCTGTACTGGGGATTGAACCCGGGATGCATGCTAGGCAAGCACTTTTCCACTGACTGAGTTATATCCCTAGCTACTCTGTATTGTATTTCATGGGAATATGGGAGCATCAGAACATTGAAGCCCAAGATTTCCATGATACACCTTCCCATCCTCCAATAAAAACAAAGAACAAAATTTATAGATTTACAGACAGCATCAAGTGCTATTAAAAGCTTAATTATATTTAATGAGAACTAAAAGTCCCCCTGCCCCCCTCCCCCCACCGAAAAATGTTAAGGGGTCCTTGCTCTTTAAGTCATTTTAGAATTTAATGAATGATTTAATGAATGTTTGAGGCATGTGGTAGCTACTGGCGATGATGTAGGGAGAATGACTTATTCTGAGAGTGTAAGGAGAGGAGTTCTAGCACACTACAAGCTTTAGGAGTATGGGTTCCTGCCTGTCTGATTTGTGCCTAAATCTTCTTGCCCAGCTTACTACCCAGAGCTCCCAGTAGGGTGGGTTAAGGGAATGGATATTATCTTTAAGGCAAGCTATCTTTCCAGGGACGTTGCACAGGCAACTAAATAGAAGATTTATTTAATATTATTATTAGGAGACTAAATGAAGGAAATAATTAAAAAATAATTCCATGGCGGGGGTTGTGGCTTACTGGTGGAACACTTGCCTCACATGCATGAGGCCCTGGGTTTGATCCTCAGCACCACAAATAAGTATAAATATTAAAAAGAATCCCAGTGCCCTAGGTTCTCCTTCTCTCTCTCCTTGCCWGTTTTACTAGACCCAGCCTCCTATTAAAGTTTCACCCTGTCAATGGAAGAAAGAAGTGCTTTAAGAATTGTCAGTTTTCAAAGCACTAGTTTGATTCTGTAAAATCTTGGTTAATTGCAGGGTGCTGTTTTGTTACATTTTACACCCGTAAAGCTGCATTAGAAGCGCAGAATGCTCTTCACAACATGAAGGTCCTCCCAGGGGTAAGACAACTTCTAATACAAGACACTGGTAGTTTTGATGCATAGGACATGGTTATACATACCAGGAACACCCTGAAAATCATTTTGGGGATAAGCTAGTTGCTGTGGAATTTAATGTAAAGGAGTACTTAAAGAGAGCATTTCAAAGAAGATTAGACTGAAAGTAGTTCTCTTACAACCAGTAGTCTTGGATATTTTGACTACCTGACTCATGTTCTTTCTATTCTTACATTTTGCCAGAAAAGATCATGAGGCAGACATGTGTTCAGAGAGAACTCTTATGGCCCTAGTTTTGGCATGTCTTTTAGAGTCTTCATTTATATTTTTGAATGCATCAGTATGTATGTATGTCTGTACAGATACTCAGTAACATTCATGGTATGACTTTTTAGATGCATCATCCTATACAGATGAAGCCTGCCGACAGCGAAAAGAACAATGGTAAGAAAGCATACCAAATTTTCCCATTATTTCTTTCTACTTCATTTGCTGTTCTTATGTTCTCTAGATTGAATTGTGCTCCAGGAAACCTAATTTGTCATTGTTTGTTTGTTTGTTTTTCCCTTGTAAAATAAGTATAAATAGAGATGAGAGGGCTGGGGTGTGGCTTGGTCTGTGATAGACCACTTGCCTAACACATGTGAGGCCCTGGATTCCATCCTCAGCACTGCATGAAAAATAAAAATAAAATAAAGGAATTATGTCCATCTACAACTAAAAATATTTTTTAAAAATAAATGAGACTGGATTTAAAAGTAGGATATCAAAGTAGGGTTGACTGGAAAACATTACAATAACATTAGAATGATCTGGAATGTCCTTCAAAAATATAATTTCTTATGGGCAGGAAAGCAGAAAATGAACAAATTGGGAAGGAGAACTTAATTTTCTTGAATATCAGAGTTTCCTCAGCTGGCACTCAACAAGGATAAGGCCATGTTCAGCTCTCTCATCAAAATCCCAGTGGGAAGAAGCTGGACAAATTTCAGTCCTCTGGCATGTCTCTGGCATGTCTGGAGATGCACCAGACCTCAACCCTCAGCTATAGGAGCTGAATGTCACAGGAGCCATAGAAATTGAAGTTGGTGAGCTGGGGTTGTAGCTCAGTGGTAGAGCTTTGGCCTAGCATATAGGAGGCATTAGGGTTACCATATAAAAATAAATAAAGATATTGTGTTCATCTCCAACTAAAAGAAATTGGAAAAAGAAAAAAAGAAATTGAAGTTTCTCAGTTTAAATCTTTCCAGAAAATCTAAGTGAAGCCAGGTACAGTGGCACACACCTGTAATTTCAAGGATTTAGGAGACTGAGGCAGGAAGATCACAAGTTGGAGGCCAGCCTCAACAACTTACCAAAATCTGTCTCAAAATTAAAAGGGCTGGAGATTTAGCTCCATGGTAGAATGCCCCTGGGAATAGAAAATCCAAGTAGTACATGAATTTGAGAAAAAGTTCAGTAGTAAATCTTTGATCTTTTTATATATGTATATAAAAAAGATGTTGATGGACTTTCTATTTTATTAATTTATTTATATGCAGTGCTCAGAATCAAACCCTGGGCCTCACATATGCTAGGCAAGTGCCCTACCACAGAGCCACAACTCCAGGCCACCTTAATTTGGCTTTACCCAACTTGAAATAGCTGAATGAAAATAAGCAAAAGAGTCATGGGTAGCTGGGAGTGGTGGTGCAAGCCTGTAATCCCAGCAGCTCCGGAGGCTGAGGTAGGAGGATCACAAGTTTAAAGCCATCTGCAATGGCAAGGCCCYAAACAACTCAGTGAGACCCTTTCTCTAAATAAAATACAAAATAGGGCTAGGGATGTGGCTCAGGGCTCAGTGGTCGAGTGCTCCTGAGTTCAATCCCTGGTACCCCCTGCCCCCCCAAAAAAAGAGTCATGGTGGTGTAATCCTTGTGGACTTGGACCTACCAAATGAAATTGTAAGCAGGAGAATCTCATGAAACTGGATGGCAGCTGGCTCATAATTTCATTTGGACAAAGCATAGTAGCACAGAGCAGAGCACAAGGTCAAAACTTATTTATTCATTCATTTACGTGCTTGGGATTGAATCCAGTGGCAATTGACCACTGAGCTACATCCCCAGTCCTTCATAAAAATGTTTTATTTTGAGATAGTGCCTTACCAAGTTGCCAAGCTGGATTCAAACTGGTGATCCTTCTGCCTCAGCCTCCTGAGTTTCTGGGATTACTGACATGCGTTTACAAGTTGAAACCTTTTTATCCTTRCTCACACTCAGAGGTATTAATTTTGACTTTGCAAAGTTTGAGTTTGAAACTCAAGTGAAGTCCAAAAAGGTAGGTAGACAGTCTACTCACTGAAAAGTTKATCTCATTCCTCTGGTCACATCAAAGTTGTAATGTTCCTCTTTCTGTAGTATTGTAGTATTTGTAGTATTGCTAGAGAGAACAAACATACCAAAGTAGTTATCTTTATTAATCAGATAAGGTAACCGACACAAATTGGTTAAGTAACTTCAACAAGAGCATGAAGCTGTTAAATTTCATCTCAGTACTTCCAGTTTCATATAATTTTAAGATGTCTCTGGTTAGAAGAAATGTAAAATTATGGGGGTGGGGGGATAGTATGTCTTGGGATCTGAAATGTGGTATGAGGCACAAAGCCAGGTTTCACACCCAGATGATCTAGCTCCTGAGTGTGTGCTTGACTGAATTTTAGTAATARCATTCAAGCCTTTTGTGTTTTACTCTCTTAGCAGTGGAAGACAGGAAGCTGTTTATTGGTATGATTTCCAAGAAGTGCACTGAAAATGACATCCGAGTCATGTTCTCTTCATTTGGACAGATTGAAGAGTGCCGGATATTGCGGGGACCCGATGGCCTGAGCCGAGGTGGTACAATTTAAAATATATATATATATATATATATTTAGTATTTAGTTGTAGTTGGACATAATACCTTCACGTTATTTATTTTTATGTGGTGCTGAGGATCAAACCCAAGGCCTCGCACGTACTCGGTGAGAGTGATCTATCGCTGAGCCACAACCCCAGCCCCCAAGGTGGTACAATTTTAGCTATTAAAGATAATTCTCTTAAATTTGGAGTTTCTTTTTAATTGGCCCAGTGGAAATCAGATTCCTAGCCACCATAGCCCTGTCACCATGAAGAAGTTAGGCCTGCTGTTTTGTTCTGTACATCTGGGTCCTATGAGGCTCCTCCCATGAGTTGATCCCCTTTTGTTTTCCTATCCTCCCTAAGGAGTCAAATCCTGCACTTCAGTGTCATGTATTAAAAATTTCTCATTTGGTGCTTAAAGATCTTGATGCCAAAATGGAAACATTTTCTTCTCTCATTTTCTTTTCTTTCTGTGGGGAACTAGGGGATATGATTCTTTCTTTCTCTCTCAAACACCTTCTTTCCTATCTGTGGAACCCTGGTTTTTCATTAAATCAGTTACTGCACTAGTGTGGCATATCTGTCTCTTCACCAGCTCATGAGCCCCGCTGAAGACAGGGACCACATTTGTATCACTATCATGATAGTTGGCATCATAATAGGGGCTTAGCCAGTTGTCAATAAATGTGTAAATGAATGAATGAATTATTGACTCTTCTCTTATCAGGTTGTGCATTTGTGACTTTTACAACAAGAGCCATGGCACAGACRGCTATCAAGGCAATGCATCAAGCACAGACCATGGAGGTAGGGAACAAATAGGAGTAAAGGGGAAATTCCTTAGCCTATGAATACTAGGACAGTTCCAACAAAGTTCAGTTACATGTTCAGCATCCAGTTGCCCTAAAACTTAAACAAATGGTTTCTTTACAGTTAATATGTTGGGGAAATAAATAAAATAACACATTGGAGAAGGGTGTGGTGATATGCACCTGTAGTCCCCTTTACTCAGGAGCTTTGAGGCAGAAGGACGGCTTGAACTTGGAGGAGTTTGAGTCCAGCCTAGGCAACATAATAAGATCCCATTTTTAAATAAACAAGTAATAAAATCAACATTGGAAACAGTTGTTCTTTTAATTGCCTTTGGTGCCAGCCTCTATCAGGAAAGTCAAGTGAAATTAGAATACAGTCTGCATATCTTCAGAAAGGAGGATTTTCCCATTCACTCAGAAGGAGGAGTTTGACGCTTTGATTTTTGGTGTTTTCATAGGGTTGCTCATCCCCCATGGTGGTAAAATTTGCTGATACACAGAAGGACAAAGAACAGAAGAGAATGGCCCAGCAGCTCCAGCAGCAGATGCAGCAAATCAGCGCGGCATCTGTGTGGGGAAACCTTGCTGGTCTAAATACTCTTGGACCCCAGTATTTAGCAGTGAGTCTTTGTGGTTTGCTTTCTGCAGACTGTGCAAGCTCCCAGCTGTTTCTTCTTCTGCTATCCCTAGCTAACACACACAGTGGCATTTATAATTTGTGGCATATAGAGATTTTGAGTAAAAATTTAGGCAAAGTGATATTTTTTTCCTATAAATCAGGTTAGTCTGTCTCTCTTTCTTGGTCTCTCTCTGATCTTGTGTCTTTGCTTATTTCTTGAGGCTTTTCCCACAACTAAAGTGAAATCCTAATTATCTGACTTAAGATTTAGAAATATCTCATGTTTCCCTGTCTCCAAGAGCAAAATTCCTAAGGGAATCTTAACTACCAAGCACCATTTTCCATATATCTACCAGATGTAGAGGGGATCATTAAAATCCTTATTGAGGGCTGGGGCTCAGTGGTAGAGCGTTTGCCTAGCATGTACGAGGCACTGGGTTTGCTCCTCAGCATCATATAAAAATAAATAAAATAAAGGCACTCTGTCTACAGCTACAAAAAAAAAAAAGTTATTATTGAATCTTAGGAGAAAGCTTGATAAATGTTTTCTTCAGTGAACTGAAAGATCAAAAGATTAACATTATGAAGTGAAAATTATAGGTGCGTGCTTAAGCTCACCAAATTGTAATAGATTTCCTTTTATTTAATGTTGAGTTTGAATCATATAATCCAAAAAAGTGTCCAGTCCTAGTTTGTTGTTTAGAGTAGGTCTACAATGTGTTATAGCGAGTTACTACTGCTTTAACTCTTAAAATAAGACTTTTAAAACTGTCTTATCTGTGAGTAACCAAAGGTAATGTCTACAGTTATAAATGATAAAACCACTATATTCATATGGATAGTCCATTCATATGGATATCCACAATAACTAGCGTACTTATTCATTCCTCCTGTTTTTTGTATTGCTGGGGATTGAACCCTTTGCCTTGTGCCATATCTATATGAATATAGATGCAGAATATAGCACCACCTCTGAGCTATATTCTGAGCCCTCTTTCAGATATTATTCTTAATTGAAACAGAGGAAAAGCAGTGATTTCTGTCCCTTAGAACTGAGTTTTGGTTAATTTGATACCTCTGGTTTTCATATTTCTTAAATTTTAGCAGAAATCCTAGTTTATCCTAGCTAGTATTTCTCTGAAGTTAAAAAATATATATATACACACATATACACACACATATATATATACACACACATGTGTATATGTTATATTTCAGTAGATTAAATTGTTTCTTAGTGTTAGAACATTGCTTATAAGTTCAGATGATTCAAAAAGATTCATCTGCCAAATGATGATATTTTGAAAATAAGCATGATAATCCATTTGCTCCTTAGAGTTTTTGATCCACTTTTTAGGGAAAAATCCCGCTTTTGCTGTCATTGCCATACCCAGCAAGTGCATAATGGTATATGCTGAGAGCTGTGGTCTCTTTATTTCAGTTAGACATGATCCCACCCTAAGAGCTCTTCTCATTTAGGGAGGAAATGGAGGTGCCAAGTACAGTAGAACAGTTCACCATTTGGAACTGTACACATTGACCAAGGTATTTAAGAAGAGAAAAATGAAGACATGTGGGTGCTAATGGACTGTGTAAGTGATAGTAAATCATCATTAATTATGAGGTTTTTTCCTGGGAATATGTGGATTTGAACCAACTGAGCTATAATAGACTAGAATAGTGGTTCTTTGTGGAGTTATGGACTCCTTCGAGAAGTAGTAAAAGTTGTTTGTCTTTATTTTTTCTTCTTCCAATTCTCTTTCTGGAAGTTTGTCAGTCCTCTGAAATCCATGAACTCTGCCCTAGAAGAATTTATGATGACAAAGGAAGTTTATAGGAATGGGAAAGGGTTGAGTAAAGGATCTAGTTTAAGAATACTGGTTTTCTAGGAATAGCAATTGGATTTGAATGGAGGAAAAATTTCCACAAGTTGATGAGAGAAAGGTTGTGGTTTGCCAAGATACAGAGTGTACAGGATAAGGCTGTAGAGTTCCATAAACTCACATTTGTTTTGATGATCACTGAAAGAATATACAGTGAACCTGGTCATGAAATGATCCATCAATCATTTGGTCATCTGCAATAGTAAAGACCAATTTGAAAGGAAGAAAATAAATAGGGTTGGATAGATACATAACTTRGAAGCGATTGATTAGTTATGAAATACTTGTGCAGTGGTAGATAATGATATTTGAATAGTGGTATGGAGTAGAAATCAAGTATCCATATGGAAACCCTTTTGGAATAAGATGTGTTGGCCTCACTAAGGAGAGTTTAGGAGAGAGAAACTAGAAATGGCAATCATTTGTACAGACAGTAAGTGCTGTCAACCTTGCAGCTGCTTCAATTTTGCTTATTTCTCTGCACTACTTCTAGCCTTTGCTGTGCTTCATTCTCTTGCCCAGGAACTTGAGTTCAGCTCAGTATCACATGAATATATTATCTTCTGTGCCAGGGCTTTAGCTGTGTTGTATTGTCCTATGCTGCCATAAGTCTTATATTTCCGTTGTGTTAGCTTGGGATCTTGTCTTCAACTTTCTTCTCTCTGGGGGCCTCTGCACTCTTGCTTTGCTGTGCTGTAGAGTTATCCCAGATGCAGAACCAGCCCTCACTCTCACTCTTGTTCTGTTTTTTGGTGTAATGTCTAGCTTTATTTGCAGCTCCTTCAGCAGACTGCCTCCTCTGGGAACCTCAACACCTTGAGCAGCCTCCACCCAATGGGAGGTAAGTGTTTCACTGCTGTGGAGGAGCAGCAGCACCCAAGCCAACAAACCCAGCTGCCAGCAGTCTTGAGAATTTTGCCCCATTGGTGCAAAAAAAAAAAAAAAAAAAAGTTCACTCATATATAAAGCCAACCTAAGATGAACGTTCTAGAACTCAACTGCCTTGTCTCTGTAAGGTGCCTGTATTGTCAGTACCACATTACTCCTGAGGTTGTCTGCTGCCTCCCATCACTTTAAATTACTGTTGAGGAGGAAAATGGAAAATTGCTGCTGTTAGCACCTAGGGACTTCTGTGGCCATTCTGTCTGATAAGGAGAAAATTGTAGGATCTCTTGATTTCTACAATAAAGTAATTTTCAGTGACTCCGAAGAAAGGCCAAGGATGGCTTCCATGCAGATAACTTAATCTGAGACTGCTAGAACTGAGACAGTTAGTTGACCTGTGTGGTCCTATACATGTTATTTTGTAGGGGAATTCCTGTTGTTTTTTTTTTTGTTATGGTACATGGAAAACTTAAATGAAAAATACCGGGGTTTATAACAACATGGGGTGCTTCAACACATCTGAGCCTGCGCCTTCAGAAAGGTCATTGAAGGTAGGGAGTAGGGCATTTCCAAAGCTGCCTATGCTGTATCTTCTGGCAAGATAAGGCTGAGCAAGTACATTTGAGAAAGGGGTARTTGGCAGTGAACTGCATTTTGCATTTGAAAATTTTTCATGGTGGTTCACATTGTTCTAGGGAATGCTATGTTTTGAAAAGTTAGTAGATTCTAATCTGTATTGTGTTTTTATTTTTACTTCTTCTACCTCTTCCTCTGAACTACGTTTCCATCATATAGTAAATGGTTGGCAACATTTACACCACGATTCAGGTTTCTCCTCTCAACTACAATATCTGGGTTCTGCTTTCAGGTCTTTCCATCTTCTGATGACGATTAATCTGCTATGGGAGTGGCAGTGGGTTATTTTTTTTATTGTCGTTGTTGTTGTTGTTTTCTCCTCTTGATRTTTTCATACATGTTCTCTCCTGTCATTCCTCCTGGGCCTTTTGGGTCTATTCTGTGTTTTCCGCTTATTCCTTGTTCCCCTCCATTGCACAGAGCAAGTTCCCTGTAAAGTTTGAGCGATGGTCTTAGATGCAGTCCTATTCTGTTACCATGGTTGGCATTGTTGTTTCCTTGGGTTCCTGGCCTCATGGTAGGCTGCACACACATTCTTCTTTCAGTCTCCTGATTGCCCACCCCTTTATTAATGCTTACATGGGGTGCTATGCCATTGAATTAATTCTTCTCTGAATAAATTATAAAGTATTCAAGTTTCTTTCTTCATTATCTTCTATTTATTTTTTTATTTTTAGTTTTTGGAGGTGGGGTATGGGTGTTGTGGGTTGAACCCAGAGCCTGACACATGCTAAACATTCCGTCTATTACTGATTTACATCCTAAGCAATTTGTTTTCTTAATGAGTGGTATCCTGGGCACAGTGGCACATGCCTATAATCCCAGCTACTCCAGAGGCTAAGGCAAGGTCAAGGTGAGACCTGTCTCAAGTTTAGAAGAAAAAAAGATGGGGATATAGCTTGGTTGTAAATGGTTTCTGGGTTCAGTCCTTAGTACCTACCTGCTCCCCCATCCCAAAAAAAGGATATCTGATTTTTTTTTTTTTAAGCCCTATAATTTTGCTAGTAAGGCTTATCTAGTTCTTTATCTGGGACCAACCTTCTGTCATTGCTGGAGTAGATATCAGAAACCCTTATCTGCTGGCTAATCTCTTGCTTTGAATGTTGCAGGGTTAAATGCAATGCAATTACAGAATTTGGCTGCATTAGCTGCTGCAGCTAGTGCTGCTCAGAACACACCAAGTGGTACCAATGCTCTCACTACATCCAGCAGTCCTCTCAGTGTACTCACCAGTTCAGGTAAGCATGATATAGGAACTATTGTGCCATTGTGTGCCTTGGGCAGATCTTCTGTTTTGAAAGCAGAGTCCAAAGAGAAGGCTATATCATCCTGGAAAAGAGTTACTACCTATATTCAGAGGAGTTGGATTATGAACAACAAATTCTCAGATGTCTTTTTCTGACTCAAGAAAAATCTTATAATTTTTAATGTKCTGTAACTATCATTTGTCTTTGTCCTAAAAGGACAGTTATCAGTATTAGTAACTGAAACCTTTGCAAATAGAATAGTTGAATAGTATCCCTTTTGTGATTCTATTTACAAAAATAGGCAAGTAATGGCTTGAGCTTAACTTCTGGATTTCTAATAGCAGGGTCTTCACCTAGCTCCAGCAGCAGTAACTCTGTCAACCCCATAGCCTCACTTGGAGCCCTGCAGACATTAGCTGGAGCAACAGCTGGCCTCAATGTTGGCTCTCTGGCAGGTAAGGGGCAGCCCCTGGTTGTCATCAGGCCWTTTCTTGTGTAGTAGCATATCTTAAAGCAACCATGGTAGGGGCACCACTAGAATTGTTGGAGTGGCCTAAAAAGGTTAGAAATAACCATGGGATTTCAAATCTGACATGAGTAAAATCCCATCTCTGTCTCTTACCTAGCTGTAGTCTTGGACCACCTTTTTACTGTCTCTTTCTCTTCTMTGAAAAAGGAGTAATAAAATATTTTGAAGGATTCTTAAGAAGTTAAGTGAAGACGGGCATGGTGGCATACACCTGTAATTTCAGCTACTTGAGAGGCTGAGGTAGAAGGATATGAAGTCAGAGCCAGCCTGCTCAACATAGAGAAACCCTTTCTCAAAATAACATATAGATTCCTGGGGATGTAGTTCAGTGGTAAAGCACTTGCCTAGAATGAGTGAGGACCTGGGTTCAATCCTGCCCCCAAAGGGTAAGTAAAGTGCTAATGGGCACATTGCTTAATGTAGTGCCTGGCAACATAGAATCTACCCAGTAAACAACGTTAACTGCGGTTTTGATGATAGGCTTTACCCACGTCTTATTATAGATCACATGTAATCCTTTTAGTCCACAACCCTGGGATTCTTGTTTTACTAAATTCCAGCTCTATATTAAAAAGTGGCAAAATAGCGAAAGAGTCTGGCATGTTTAGGTGGCATCAGAGTTCTTCCAAAGGTTGGAAGAAAGTAATGGGGAGAGCCACGCCTAGGTATGGTATATTTTAAATGTTCACATTAGCAGCAACAACTGACAAATGCCCTAAAATCAGACCAGTCAGTTGAGTATTCCTTAGGGAAAAGCTAAGACAGAGAGGAAAGGGCAAATTCGGGGTTTTCCCTATTCTAGGTGTCTCTAAGTATACCTGTCTTTGGCATCAGAGGAGTCTTTCTTGTATATTAATCCTGTTTTTCTCCAACCAAGGGATGGCTGCTTTAAATGGTGGCCTGGGAAGCAGTGGCCTTTCCAATGGCACTGGGAGCACCATGGAGGCCCTCACCCAGGCCTACTCGGGTATCCAGCAATATGCTGCTGCAGCGCTTCCCACTCTGTACAACCAGAATCTCTTGACACAGCAGAGTATTGGTGCTGCTGGAAGCCAGAAGGAAGGTAAGTGCCAAGGGAAATTAGGGGCGGGGCTGGACATATCACTCCCTCTGCACTAGAACTAAAGGCAGGGCAAAGGTTGCAAGGTGGTTAGAACACTTTTCTGACCAATGACAAGAGTAAACTGAAAAACATTGCAAAGTGTGGTGTTTTTGGAGTGTTTTCTGGGTGTAACTTAAGTCAGATCCTTTGTACACCCTCCTGGGGTAAGGGTTATAGTTTTTAACTAAAGAAACAAATACTGGCCTTATTGCTTCTGAAATCATTTGAAAAGAATCTGTTTTTGTTAGGATGTCATCTCTCTGGGTTGTACATCTGTCAAAGTRTCTTCTGTCCAGGTGTCCCTTTTAGTTATATCATTTGGTATTTTTTTCCTTCACTTTCTGATCAATGCTTGTTCTAATTGAGGAGAAACTGAGAGGTGATGGGTCCAAAGAAGTTATAGCCAATGGGTTGAGAAAGTGGCAAGTCTGTACTTTGACATAATGGAAGTAAATTTGATTTCAATGAAATTAAATTTAGAAGCTTTCCAGACAGAGGCCTGATGATGATTTGTAGAACTAGAAAGTTCTGCTGTCTCCTTAGTGCCTGGATTTGGCAGGGTTTTTTATAATCACAAACCAGCAAAGTTTAAGCACTAAAGTAGGAAAGATAAAAGTATCCTGTAGCCCCAAGGAGTTCTGCTCTAATCCCTCCTCATCACCTCCTCTGAATTAGATACTTCTCTGCCCTGGAGATGTGGCAGTGGGGAAATCCTCTGAAATTAGAACYAGTATTTTAGTGGAAATTACAGAGATAAACAATAAAAAAGTTGAAAGCATGAAATGTTTTAGATGGCTCTATGAAGAGTGACCAATAGAAAAAGGGATAGTGAGTGCCAGAGCATTGCATGTTATGACGAATAGCCAAAGAAAGTCTCTAAATTGACATTTAAATAGAGATCTGAAGGAAGTAACCCAAAGGAGTATCTAGAGAAAGAATAACKGGGAGAGGGGAAACTGCAAGTGCAAAGGCCCTGAGGCGGTCACATTCACCTTATTCTATCACAGCAGTGAGGAGGCCAGGATCATTGGAGAATGACTGAATGCAATTCTGATAAAATCTGTTTGGTTAGAAAGTCACTGAGTGTAAGTGGTTGGATAAAGAAAGCATGTTCTGTTTTTTAGCTCAATGTTAATCAGGCATATTTTTTAAAAATTCATTTTACTGGGCTGGGGATGTGGCTCAAGCGGTAGCGCGCTCGCCTGGTATGCGTGCGGCCCGGGTTCGATCCTCAGCACCACATACAAACAAAGATGTTGTGTCCGCCGATAACAAAAAAAAAAAAATTCATTTTACTGGTCTGGAGATGTGGCTCAAGCGGTAGCGCACTCGCCTGGCATGCGTGGGGTGCTGGGTTCGATTCTCAGCACCACATAAAAATAAAATAAAGATGTTGTGCCAACTGAAAACTGAAAAATAAGTATTAAAAAAAATTTTTTTTTTTTTCATTTTACTGCTGAGTACAGTGGCACACTCCTGTAATCTCAGCTACTCAGAAAGCTGAAGCCAAAGGTTCACAAGTTCAAGGCCAGTCTTGGCAACATAACAAAACTGTCTCAAAAAATAGAATGGGCTGGGGCCATAGCTCAGTGGTAATGCACCTCTGGGTTCAATCTCTAGTACAGAAAGTTTATTTTTACATAGGCACAATTTATACATGGCTAAGTTTACCCATATTGGTATATAGATCTGTGAACTTTGACAAATACATATAGATATACAGGCACCACCATCACAAATGTAAGCCAGTTCCATCATCCTTCACGCACTTTTGTAGTCATTGGYTGCTCCCACTCTTTATTCTGACAACAACTAGCGTGTTTGCCCTCTCTATAGTTTATAGACATAATTTTGCACCTTGTTTCGATTATAAGTTTTCTGCCTCCTTATCTTGTTCCTCTGTGGCCTCAGTCTCTATTTTTCTGCTCCATAAAGTTCTTCTCTCTAGGGGAAGGAGCATAGCTAACCATGGGGGAAAAAAACTAATCCAGTGATTACCCTTTGCTTCCCTGCCTTATGTTTGGAGAATTTGTTTAGCTCCCTCAAAGAATCTCTGTTTTTTGGGATCATAATTGTTTTGACATAGGTTAAAGGACTGAAAGAACATTGATGCAGGGTGATGAGCATGCTTGACACTGACACTTTTCTAATCATTCGGTATTTTGAAGGTCCAGAAGGAGCCAATCTGTTCATTTACCACCTGCCCCAGGAGTTTGGAGATCAGGATCTGCTGCAGATGTTTATGCCCTTCGGGAATGTCGTGTCTGCCAAGGTTTTTATAGACAAGCAGACAAATCTGAGCAAATGTTTTGGTATGTTACTTCCCTTCTGGTGTTAGGGTGGGATTAAGTTTTTCACCACTGAGAAAGACGAGGGGAAAAGCTGGATTTGAGTTTGGGCTGGTGTTTAAGTTAGTCTTGGGCAGATCACCTGACCGCTTTTTGAGCTTCAGTTTTCCCATATCTGTTAGGAGRTAATGATTTCTGCCCATAGTACTGCTCCAAAAGGAAAACTAATTTATGAAAAATGGCTTGCAGAAGATCTTAAAGTACTATATAAATATCAGATGGTACTATTATTAAGCATCTAACTTATGGGCCAGATGTGGTCATGCTCATGCTCATCTGTCATCCCAGGAACTTGGGAGGCAGAGTCAGGAGGATCTTTAGTTCAAGGCCATCCCCAGTAACTTAACAAGAGACCCTTTCTCAATAAAATTTATCAAGGGCTGGGGATGTAGCTCAGTGGCAAAGTGTTCCTGGGTTCAATCCTCAATAGCAATAAAATTTTAAAATATTAAGAGCCAGGCATGATGGCACACATCTGTAGTCCCAGCAGCTTGGGAGGTCAAGGCAAGAGGATTGTGAGTTCAAAGCCATCATTAGCAACTTAGGGAGACCCCAAGCAACTTAGGGAGACTCTATTTCAAAATAAAATATTTAAAAAGGGCTATGGATATGGCTCAGTGGATAAACACCCTTGGGTTCAATCCCCTGTACCACCAAAAAATAAATTTAAAGAAACCTAATTTATTTCATGTAATATTGTTTCCAAAGTGTATGTCCCTGCTGAGAAAAATTGGGACTTGAGACTTAAGCACATAAAACATCTCTTGCATAAGGAAGACTGAGACTCCTTGCCTCATCGTGTCCCTCACTTAGATTTCTGCTTGGACACACAGGTTTTGTAAGTTACGACAATCCTGTCTCGGCTCAAGCTGCCATTCAGTCCATGAACGGCTTTCAAATTGGCATGAAGAGGCTTAAAGTGCAGCTCAAACGTTCGAAGAATGACAGCAAGCCCTACTGAGCGTGCTCCCCTCTGAGACTGGAGTGAGAGGGTCTTCTGGTAAGTGGGGGAGGAGCACCCTTAATGATTCGAAGCCCTAAGGCTGTGTGTTGACAGCCCTGGACCCTGATCCCTGCCACTCTCGCAGGCACAGCTTGCCCTGAAGACTCGGCTACTGCCTTCTGTGGGAGTTTCGCTTCGTACAGAGGACAAGTTTGTGCTTTGGTTTCCAGTGTTTTACTTTGGAGTTTAGGTGCCATATCCTGAGTTTCTTTTTTCTCCCCCCTCCTTTATTTAAAGTTTGCCGTGTTTGTAACCAGTGTGTGTTGAGAAGGACCAACACCAAACCAGCCTGGGGGAAGGGAATGGGGAAATGTTTTTTAAAAGATAATGATCAGAATTTTCCCCAAACCACCCCAACAGAAGACTAAAAGTAAAACAAAAAGTTGACCCTCAGAATCTCCCCAAGTGCAAGGGTGAGTGAAATGAAAACTGACATCCAAGAGTTGCAGGGGTGGAGTGGTGGGTTGGCTTTGGAGGAGAGGGGGTGATTTGACACCTAATGCTTTGGCAGCTGGAGTCAGAAACACTTCCACAGCTGCCTTCTGTACAAATATTTATTGCCACCTTTTGTTCAGATTCTTGCCCTGGATTTCTGCCTCCTTTTTTTCTAAAAGGTGTCACCCATTCTCTGGAAATAAAGCACCTCTTAAATTAGCCTAACATGCAAAAAGCAGGGAGACATCACTCATTGCTGTTCTTCCCTGACCACCACTGCTGTTGGATTGCCCTACCTAGCTGGTGGACATTTGGGATTAGCAGCCAAAGAGGTCATTTTTATTTTATTCCAACCTCAAATTAGGGACCCATTTCCAAGAGCTTTCTTGAAAGAAGGCCTCTGTGGAAGACATTGCCTGGTTTTCTTCTTCTAGTTCACCACAGCAAGGAACATCATCACCCCCATCCCAAGCCACAATTTTCTCATGAGGGCAAATCCAAAAAAGTCTTGCAGCATCTTGCTGAAGGAGGCACCTCTCCTGGGCAGAGTGATMAAAAGCCATCTAGTTGGAGGAAGAGGAGCTTGCTTCTTAATATACCTGAATTAGAAGGTCCCTTCAGATGAGGATGTTGCATTTGCCAGTGGCCAGAACTTAATACTTAAGAACATGAAGAGGTCCATGCTTGCCTCTTTGAATGAGGTGTCCCAAAGGTAGTATTCCCACAGAGGTCTGGCAGGCCCCTCTTCTAACCACTCCAGCCCTATCTTCTGCCCTTGGGGACAGAGGAGACAACAGGATGTTTACAGCCTCCATATGGATTTAGTGTTCATTTACCTCAGTATTACTGTGTTCATTTTGTCCTCATGCTTACAGTTAGCTCCCTGCTGCCTCCCACAGGTCTCACTCCAGCTCTTGCCTATGACCCACACAGCCTCTGGGCTCTGCCTCTGCTCTATGAAATGCTGTGGGGGTGGAAAGCCAGGAAGGACATGCTGTTGGGAATGTGCACCTGGGCAGAGGTAGCCCCATTAGGATATGACTATCAGCCACAACCAGGGACTGGGTCCCTGAGTCCCTGGAAGCTTACACCTCACAAATGAGTCCTGACCCCTAGAAGCAGAGATCAGAGTAATGTGGTTGGTTTGCTATTAAGTTGGATGGGGGCTCTCTCATTGTCATGCTGTCCCTGTGGTTAACAGAGATTGACTGTCTTGCTGTTGTACAGTTAGTTCGTGCTGTTGGATTATCCCATTGAAACTGGGACGGCTGTTCCCTTCTCATAGTGATAACTTGGGTCTGTTGTCCTCTTAAGAAACGAGAAACATACACTTCTTAAGCTGAACCACGTAAACTTGAATTCTGCGCACTGGGAGAAATGTGTCCTGTGTTTCAAAGGATAAAACTGTTCTAAAGGCTTCCAGGGTCATGATGGGATTTTTTTAAATAAATGCAAAAAAAAAAAAATAAAAAGAAAAAAGAAAAAAGAAAAAAAAAAGAAAAAATGCTAGGTTGGGGAGGCGCTGTTCTGAAACCCAACCGGCTGGAACCAAGAATGTCGTTTCTATTTTTATAGAAGTTTTATACAGCTCCGGGGTGGAGAATATTTATTACCTAAATTATATCTCTGGAAAAGGCCAGGATTTTGTAGAATCCAGAATGTGATTGTTGTACACACAGGGTGCTGTGTATGATTGAAACTACTGACTTTCTGTGGCCGATTGCAGCCCAGCTAACCTGCCCGAGGGGAAGGTGTTAATGCTGTGAATTGGCAGAGGAGAGAGCTGTGCTCCACAGGGTGCTGCCGGTGCTGTGCTCCCTAACCTTCTGTTCTGTCTTCCTTCTTGGCCAGAACTCCACTCCCTTCCCCCTTCTCCCTTTTTCCTTATCCCTGCCCCTCCCCCATCTCATCATTTGTCCATGGATTTGTTCTGGGCTCTGGGACCTTATGAAACGACTTTGCTAATGACATGAGGCAAAGGTGCAATCCACTGCCTTTGATACAGACCCTGAGGCTTCATACCTGGTTTTGGTTCTCTTTTTGTAAGAGGAGCACATGCCCCAGCAGGGTCCTGGGCTGCTAAGGCAGCCAGCTGGTGAGATCATGCACTTCTGTTCTCTCCTCCCTCTGCCCAGTGCGTTTGCACCGCAGCAGCACTGCCCTTGAGTACAGTTCTTTCCCCAGGCCAAAGATGGTTTTGTGAAGAAGCTGCTCCCCTACAAGTCTCATGGTGTGAAAGGGCTCAGCTCAGCTCAGCTCAGCTGGGAGAGTGGAGAGACTCGCAGTCAAGTCTTAAGCAATCCTTTTCTGTTGTGTGGAGGTTTCACTTACAATGTGTTTTTTGTTTTGTTTTTTTGTTTTGCTGTCGTTTTGTTTCATACTTGGGTTACATCATGAAATTGATTTGCCTTGAATGCAGCCAGACCACTGTCTCTCCTGGGGTCCATTTGAGTGGCCAGGACCTGTGTGGAAGCTAAGGGCTTGGATTTCTGGGAACAAAGGGCGGTCCCCATAGGTTTCGAGCAGAAATCCTGTCCCTCTACCATAAAGAATCTTCCCCACCCCAGCCAGTGTCTTCTGCTGCCCCCTGCCCCACTGAGTTTTGGCCCGGGAATGGGAGAAAGGCTGAGAGGCCCTGTTCCCCAAGAGACATTCTCTTATATGTTGAGTGCTTCGTGGGAAATCCAAGCCTTAAGTTCCCTTCTGTCTCTGGCAATTGGATGTTTTCTTGGTGTTCTCCATGTCCTTTTTGACTTTTCCCTGTGTCCATTGTTAGCATGTGCAAAAGTTCCCTGTCATTACCCACCCCCTGCCCCATCCCGCCTCCTCATTTCAGGGCTGTACACACAGTGAGTGTCCTGTTCTCTCTCTCTGTTTGGATGTATTGCTCTGTGTAACTCAGTGGGTCTCCCTCTTTCTGGTTTGTTTTTTTTTCTAGATTCCTGCCGTTTGTTCATCGTTGTGCCTAAAGCATGTCGATGTGGCGTCAAGTACATCGTCCAAATCCCTGTCTCTTCAGCTTCTCTGATGCTTGAACTCTCACCTTTGACCTTGTGTTGACCTTTGATGCTGACGTGTATTTTTATTATGTTTGTTTCTTTCTTTGTTTTTTTTCTTTTTTCTTTCCTTTTTTTTTTCCCTTTTGTGCTGCCAAAATTGGTTTTGCTAGAACGACTGCTGAAGGGGAAATATTTAAACTTGCATTTGAATATAAAAAAATCTATTTTTCTAGAACTTCATAAGATAACCACTTGATTTTGTGATTCCAATTCTTTGTAATTGTCTTCAGAGCAGCCCTACTAGCACATACCGCGTGGTGTTTGTATTTCTGTGAACACACAGCCAGTCCGTTTCTAGGCTTTGTTTCTCTGTGTGCTTAGTTTTAAAGACAACTTTGAAGTAAACAATGAAATAAACGATGTCACTAAAACCTTTGAGGCTCCTGAGCACATTTTGCTGACATAGTTTGTGGGGCTTGAGGAGACGCATGTGTTGCTTTTATTTTTGTTTTTCTGAGTTCTCAACTGCAGCAAACACCTGAACCCCCCACCCCTTTCTTTCTGACTGCAGTTTGGGCCCCAGCCAGCCCTTTTTCTTTTTCTTTTTTCTTTTTCTTCTTTTGTGGTTGTTCCCTGGAGCTACCCTGCGGGGAGCTTTGGCTCCCTCTTGCCCCTTCCCTCAGCCCCACAGGGCTCTCCTCCATACTTGTTCCTACAGTCTCCACAGCAAAATGTGATGCTTTTTGTTTTGTTTTGTTTTGTTTTTGTATTGTTTTTGTTTTGAAATTTTTTCTTTCCTACTAAGATTATGCCCAGAAAAAAGTTTTGCATGTGTCCTGCTGTTTCTTCACACCTTCGTATATATCACCTTCACCTCTCTGTTTTCTATAGTTTGTGCAAAAACTGACCGATTTAAAAGGGTTTCAAAGAAGCTGTTTTAAATTGTTGTGGGGTTGATTTTTTTTTTTTTTCCAAGATTGTACTGTTTTATTTTGAAGTGGCAACTTTCTCCTCTATTGCCCTTAGAGTGTTTGCCTGTGCACTTAGACTGTCACCTCATGCGGCCTCCAGGTCTCAGCAGGGCTCCCAGGAGGCTGGCTGCTCTGCTCAGGAGTGGGAAGACCCAAGAAGCAGAGCTGGAACCCGAAGGTGGCTATGGGTGGACAGGAGGCTTAGCACAGTAGGGCTAGCACCCAGCAGAGGGAGGGTGCTCCTAACCACCAGAGGATGCCGTCTGCACACTAAGCGGCTATACATCTGCTGCGCTTTTCCTAGGTGACAAGCACAATACTACAGTCTTCACACTGTTTACAGCCCTGGGCACAAACCACCCCACACTGGCTCTTCACCACAGCTCTGCTCTTGCTTAGCTAGTGGGGTGGGGATAAGGGCGGGGATTTGTTTTTTAAATTGGGTGAAGAGCCAAATAGCTACTGTCCCTGGGTGCCAGGCCAGCTAGTTCTTTGGTTCCCTGAGGGGAACTTTCCCTCTTCTCTTGTGGCACCATCCAGCCTCAGGGTCTTGAGGACTTGAGGAAGAATGTGAATGGAGGGGGAGAGGCCAGAGGAGATGAGAGGGCAGGGGTGGATCTGTGGAGGGATAGCAGGGAATGAGTTTATAGCAGATCCCACCCAGACCTACATGCTGGTGGGAGGAGGAGCTGAGAAGCAGAATTGTCCAGGGAAGGGTGGCAAGGTACAGCAAGGGACCTGGGGGTGGGTGGGTTAGAAGCACTGTTTAGCATCATTCACACTGGGGTTGAGGGAAAAAGGGATCCTGTCAGAATTTCTGCTCTGGGACCCAGCAGGTTGCCCAGTATTATGCTTGAGGCCACTCTTACTAGGAGGAAAGGGCAGCCAAGCGGAGGCCCAGTGTATGGTAGGCTGCTTAATTTCCTGGAAGGGGTGATTGGATGGAAAAGGCCAGAAGTCCCAGCCTGAGAGACTGCTGTGCACCCCACAGTCTGACTGCACAGAGCCGCCTCTGTTGGCAGGAGGCACTGAGGCTCCCCTTCCTGTGTATTGAGAAGCCTTGTTTGCCAATATATTTTGCTTTCAATTCCAAGAGGAGCTCTGGGAAAACCTGTGGATAAAACCAAATGCCAAACGTTGGACGTTGTTTCCTTTTCCTTTTCTCTCTCTGATTGTTTTAATTGTTCTGTGGTGGTTTTAATGGATTTGAGACCCTGGAGCGGCAGCTGCCTTTCTGATTTCCAGCTGCTTTTTGTGAATAATTTAAAAAGAAAAAAAAAAAGAAACTTTACATTTTGGAGACAAACCTGTGTGAGTTTTTTATTGGTACAAACGTTGTATTTAACACTAGGGGTTTTGTACAGTTTTTTGCCTTTTCTACTAGAAAACAATGTAAAGTGATTTCACAATGTGAAGAGAAAAAAAAATTGCCACTATGACCAAACGCACAGTCTGTTCTGCAGCAACAACGGGATTCAATCAACTCAAAGTCGTGATTCAGCCGTAGAAATGCTTTTCCTTGACCTTGTTTGAGCTTTCCTTTCTTTCCTGTTTGATTTGCAAAAGAAAATGTCTTTTTTGTGTGAACTTGTGTTGTACTCTGTAGAAAATTATGGATTTTACTTTAATGGTTTAAATAAAGGCAAGAAGAGCCCTTATTGCTTTTCTTACCTAATCACAGAGTTTGTGTAGTGGATTAAAAAAGAAAAAAAAAATTGTTACAAGTTTGGAGCAAGGGAGTATGTGTTTAAAAGGACTCTCCTTCCTTTTTTTGTGTGTTTTTCCTTTTGTCCCAATGGGGAACCTAAATCTGTTTTAATTGCACAGACACACGGACAAAAAGTCATTTTGTATCTGCCAAGTGTGGTACCTTCCTTTGTTTATTTGCTATTAAACTGTTTGAGAAGAACTGATGCTGTCTTCAAGAGTTTTTGATTGCTGGGGATGGATGGGGATCCCTAGAGGGCTGGGGTTGGTGGTGTTCCTTACACAAAGCAGACGGGTGGTTTTATCTTGATGGTGTGCAGCTGAACCCACCAAAGGAAAACGTAATGTATCTTAAGAACACTGCCTGCTTGGTATTCTTTTGTGTTCTGCAGGATGGCTGCTGATATGGAAACATCTTAAAACTTTTGGGCAGCCTTAATTCTCTTGTGCTTCTCCCATTCTCAATAGTAGCTCTCTATCACAGAACTGGTCTATACCCACTATTACCGAAGTCCCTCTTTTGGTGCTTCATAGTCCCTGAGAGTTAGTAGTGGCCAGCACAAATCCCATACCTTGGCTGCCTGGGCCTTCCTCTCTAGACCTTTGAGGCACTGGCCCAAAGCAGTTACTCTTCTTTTATTCCTTCAGTTTATAACTCGGTGATTCCAGATCTCTCCCCAATTAAGGTCCTACACCTGGGGCTCCCCTTAGACCTCTGAGAACTCAGGTTCAGTTCTCAGGAGTCTCAGGCCCTCTAAGAATAATCCTTCTCTTCCTTGTCCAGTCCTTTATTGCCACTGCTGTCCTCACGTGGAGACCTCTGGGTGGGTCAGGCCTTAACCCGTCCTCGCAGGCCTTAACCCGTCCTCACTGTCCTTCCGAGTGGGGTGAGTCTGTGGAGTAGCATTCCTCAGTGGGGGTGCATCACGTACTAGCTGTGATGTGTTCTGTGAAGTAAGAGTTCTGACCACAGATTTGGGGGATATTCTCTTGCCTTCTAGCACCTAGTGGCATATTCAGGACTCTAAATCAGACACCAAAGGAACCTCTTAGGTTTGATTTAATCCAGTATCTCCCAGACTGAACCCTGTTTAATATTATCCACTTGCTCCCCTCAAAAATTTGGTGGTTGTGAACCTTAAAATATCTTGTCAACTGAACTGGGAATGTAGCTCAGTGGTAGAACACCTACCTGGCATGCACATGTCCCTGGGTTTGAGTCCCAATGCTGCACACACATACACACACCAAAAAGAAAAAAGATTTTTGTCAACCAAACTTTCTCTTTAGTTGCTGTTTTATTCATGTCACCATTTTTGTTTTGTGTAGATTTTATTGCAATGCTAGGGATAAACCTCATGAATGCTAGGCCTTTGCCACTGAGCTTACATTCCATCCTCATATCTCCATTTATGTTTATTAAAAATGTTTAAAATTTGTATTAGCATGCAATACATTTATCTTAGCTAATGTCCAATGATTGTCTACTACAGTCTTGTGCTCTGTGAAAGTGGGGATTGAACTCATGGATGGTCTACCACTGAACTACATCCCAAGTAGTTTTTTGTTTTGTTTTAAATCTTGAGAGAGGGTCTCCCTAAGTTGCTGAGGGAGGTCTCACTAAATTGATGAGACTGACTTCAAACTGGCGATCCTCTTGCCTTTGCCTCCTCAGGTGCTGGGATTACAGGCATACACCACCACACCCAGTCCTTCCAGTTTTTATACCATTCCCCATTCCTGGGAGATGGCTATTGTTCCCCTCCCTATTTTATGGATGAGCCAGCAGGTTAAAAGTTAGGTGGCCTGCTACAGAGTGCTATATTTGAATCCTGAGTCCATTCTCTTAACCACTRTTGGTTACAAATTACTGTTTTCGGTAACCTGCATCTTCTCATAGGTGATTGAACTCTTTAGCTGGGGATTGAACTCATGGCTTTGTACATACAAGGTAAGCACTCTACCAACTGAGCCTTATCCCCAGCCCTATTGCACTCTTTAGCAAAAAAGGATTTAGGGGGTTCTGTGACTCTCGTGGCTCCCCCAGGTGGTGACTCTTTGTCTTTRCCTCCTTGCTGAGGCCTTTTTGGTGTTGGAGCAGCTCGCAATCATTCAACACTCCTACAAAAGTGCTGCCACCTGTACAGAGTGGGGGCTCCTCAAAGGCACCCCACTCTATACTCTCAGTTCTTTACTAGATCTGGTACTGACTCAGCTGTTGTTTACCTAATGTTTATTTTTTATTATTAATTTARTGGCATTAAGTTCATTTACAATATTTGTGTCTCTATTACCACTTAGATTTTAAATCACCTTTTCAACTTCATTCTAACCACTAATAATTTGTAAAATCAAACTTGATATCCTAATTATTATATTTTGGAACATACATAAAATTACAGAACTATTAACATGAAATGTCCATTGAATGCCTTTTCAGTGTTCTATATTTCATACTTTGAGAAAGTAGGGTGAYGGAAGGTCAGGGCCTTCCTCCATGGACTCCTAGGCCTGATTCTTCTGCACAAGAGAAGTCCTCTCCTGCCTAGCTAGATTTTACGTTCTGTGACTCAAGAGGAAAGTGGTAGAACTTCTCTTTTACTCTTTGTCTTGGGATTCCTGTGTTCCTGAGATAGAACTTGATGTGAAAATAGAATATTAAGTACTACTTAAGCATCTTTCAGTTAACATCAGACTTAAAGGCTGTTGTTTCTCTTACTTAATAATAATTTGTCTGGGACTGGGGATATAGTGTGGTAGAACACTTGCCTAGCATGCAYGAAGCCTGGGGGTCAATCCCAAAAAAAGAATATGCATGGGGTACAATAGTGCACACCTGTATTCCCAGCAGCTCAGGAGTCTGAGAYAGGAGGAATAGTAGGAGGACCCCAAGTTCAAGACCAGTCTCTAGAACTTAGCAAGACCCTATCAAAAAACAAAACCAGGCTGGGGATGTGGCTCAAGCGGTAGCGCGCTCGCTTGGCATGCGTGCGGCCCGGGTTCRATCCTTAGCACCACATACCGACAAAGATGTTGTGTCTGCCGAGAACTAAAAAATAAATATTAAAAATTCTCTCTCCTCTCTCACTCTCTCTTTAAAAAAAGAAAAAAAGAAAATTGAAAGTATCATAATATTAAAAAAAAACAAACCTGGGGATGTAGCTCAATGATAGGGGTATCCCTGGGTTCAATCCTCAGTACTGAGGGTGGAAAAGAGAGGAGGAAGAGAAAGAAAGAAAGAGAATATGCCAAAAGTAGTTCTTTGAACTTTATGTATTTATTTATTTGCAGAACTGGGGATTGATCCCAGGAGCACTACTTTACCATTGAGCTACTTCTCCAGTCTTTTTTTTTTTTTTTTTTTTGGAGATGGTCTTGCTAAGTTGCTTGGGCTGAACACAACAAATTTGATTCTCCTGCCTCAGGCTCCCCCTGAGTAGYTGGGGTTATACTTGTTCACTGCACGTAGTCATATCTGGCAACTTCTGGCAGGGGGATCGTGTACTAGGGATTGAACGCAGGGGCACTTAACCACTGAGCCACATTCCCAACCCTTTTTATTTGTTTTAACACAGAATCTCTAAGTTTCTGAGGCTGGTCTTGAACTTGCAATCCTCTGCCTCAGCCACCTGAGTCACTGGGATCACAGGTGTGCCACCATGCCCAGCTTAACCTTTTTTAAATTAGACTTTTACATCTTTATAATCATAAAGCTGTACCTTAAACAGTTTGTATTCCTCTTCAAAGACTTTCTCCTTGCTACAGATGGATCAGCACTTACTTTTTGCCACATTGCTGTTTCCTGTCTGCAGTGACTGTAAGTACATGGCTTTTTATAACTCACATACTGTGTTCACCTGAGCGGCTCAGTCTCTGATGAGGAAAAAGAATGGCTCAGATGGGAAAGGAATTAAAGACCAGGTTGCTTTCACCTCTGGGAACATCAAACTCTAATGTCTGGTAACATTTTACTCAGGAGAAGTCATAGAGGGCTTTGTCTTGCACCTTCTACCTTCTTCAAGCATTTTCTTCCCTTCATAGGAATCCTCTCCAGCCCCTACCATCTGGTGTAAATTT